ATTTATGTGATAGGCCTGCATTTAAAATAAACATTTACCACAAATTAAAGGTATCTTATATTATTAGATACGTTATTATAAAACATGCTTTAGTTAAGGAGTTATTGATACTTTAAGTGCAAAAATGATGACATAAAACCTTGATAAAAATGCACTTTTAAGTACTAATCAAACATATCTGACTCTTTCTTAACCTCAGCCTTAAGCTCATGTGGCCTCATTGTGTTAAGTCCCTCTTCTTGCACATCCTCATCATGTGGGTCACTAAAATCGTTAAGATTAGGCTCATACACTTCAACACTACAATATTCCTCTTTACCTATATCCTTATATATTTTGGATGACTAAAGGTTTAAAGGTACAATCTAAAAAGATATGACCAAAATCTAGACAATTAATACACTTAACCATTGAACTCACCTTAGATACTTCATTAATAACTCGTTTGCCTTTATCTTTCTTATAAAGTTGGGAGTTACTAGGATTAGGTCTGTGGAGTGGAGCTTCTAACAAAGAATCACTACTTCTGAATTGGGACCTAATAGGGATATTGTAAGAGTCTTGACGATTCTTCCACTGATTCTTTATGACCAACTTGAAGTCTTTAACTAAGCTATAAGCTTGGTTAAGGGTATATACACCTTGAAATACAACTTCTCTTTTAATATCATCATTTAAGCCTCTATAAAATCTACACAAAGTCATAGCTTCACTCTCTCTTATGGCACATCTAATCATGTAATCGTTAAACTGCATTATATACTTATTGATAGATTTATTCCCTTGTCTTAGATTGTTCCATTGGTCTAAGAGTTTATTCCTATAAGACTAGGGTAGGTATTTCTCCTGAAGTTTTTGTTTCATTTTGATCCAATCAGTTATATGAGGTTTACTTCTCATCTCTAAGCAATCCTCAATATCTCTCTAATAATTTTTGGCTTTATTAGTGAGCATCATCTTATCAAATCTAACTTTTTTATTATCAGATAAGTTATGTCACTCAAAGAATTGATCCATATCATGAATCCACATATCAAATATCCAAGGGTCATGATGACCATCAAAAGTAGGGGGTTTTATTTTGCTAGGACTCAAAACTTGCTCATTAAAGTCATCATGTTTAGCATAACCTAAATGATAGTCATACCGGTGGCGCTCAGAGTGAACTTGTCCACAATGATTGTTCTTGTGATATGTATTGGTCTTTGAGTGCCCTATTCAAAAACTCTCTTAGGGCTCAATTCTTTTAAACATGTTGATCATCTAAGTTTGCAGTGCCTTTTAAATGGTCATAAGAATATCACTAAGGGTTAAGTCTATGGTAAGTGTAAACTTAAGCTTAGACATTGGATGATCATAACACAAAAGCAGGCAATACTCATTTATAAATGAAATTGAGATCACAAATGATTCTTGCAAGTGAAGTCACAATACAAAAATAAAGCTAATCCTATCTTTTTTTTTCTTTTTTTTTAATATAGAGATTAATCAAGAACAAATTACACTAATAAAATTATAAGCATCTAATACTAGATTATTAAGTGTAAATGATTAATCAAACAAAATGTCAAAAGCAAGAACTCATAATTATCAAATAGAATAAGATATTAGCTATCATGAACAAAAATTAACAATTAAAATGCTAGGTGAGATTTTTTCTGGCATAAAGTAATATTAATGATAACTCTAAATACCAAGTGCAATACCAAAACAGTAAAATCAACAAATCAAAAGGTAGAGTAATTTACCAACCAACATTTAAATTGTTGAATTCAGTTGAGGAAGAACTTCAGATGATGTGTCAGCTGACATGGCAATAGGGGATGATATGGTGATGTTTGCTTACGTGGTGGCTGATTGGCATGATGTGGCTCCGGAGCGATGATGTGGTAGGGTTAATTAATTTCACCTCAACTCTCTTCTTTTGTGCTGCAATTGCTTTGTTGAGTTTCCTTTGTTGTTATTGCTGGTGGTGTAGCGTGATTGCTGAAGGTGAGGATAGTTGTAGTCTGTTGAAGGTGGTGGTTTTCGTCGGCCGCTTCTACTACTCTATCTGTGGCTGACAGTTGAGGGCGACAACACTAGGGGCGGCAGTAGATGAAAATCTGTTGATGGCGTAGAGAGGATGACACTGGTTGAGGTGCTGCCACTGACGAGGATTTACTACTGCTGGCGTGGGCGGCCTGTTGTGGTTGCTAAAGGCGATGGCATTATGGACAATGGCAGATGAAGATCTGTTGTGTTGCCTTTATTGTGATGAACCACCAGTCGGTGCTGGTTGTGATGGGGGGGTGGCTGCGTCTAGTGGTCTGTGCTGCTGATTTGGTTGCTGAATCCATAGGTCTGCTGTGGAAGGTGCAATTTATTGGTGGCTATGGGTTGTTGGTTTGTAACACTATTTTGGGTTGCTGAACACAACTTTGTTGTGGCGGCGCTGCGAGGCTATGGAGATAGTAACTTGGTATGGCTCTGTGGGCTTTTTATGGCACCAAGTGGTGGTAGTGGCTAGATGTCCGATCTACCGATGGCGGGGAGAGGGTGAAATAGGTAGGTGGGCCGCTGCAGACGAAGGTCTACTATTGCTAGTGTGAGTGACCTGTTGTGGCTGAAGGTTGTTGACGGCATGTACCTATGGATTGATGTGGTGGTATTAGCTATGATCAGCATGGAAGGTGATTAGTACTTAAAAGTGTATTTTTATCAATGTTTTATATCATCATTTTGCACTTGAAGTATCAATAACTCCTTAAATAAAGCATGTTTTATAATAATATATCTAATAATATAAGATACTTTTAATTTGTGGTAAATG